CCCGGCGCGTCCGTAGCCATTTTGGCTCAAGGCCAGGTGTTCCGCCCGTTTTCGGCGCGTGGGACCCATGTTGGCGCGGGACGCTGCCGCCGCCTCGTCCGTGGCGTGCGCAGCGACTGGAGACGGAGGGGGGCGACGGCGCCTTCGCGGTGCTGCTGGTGCTCGGACGTCTGCCGACGCGCTGATCCAGCGGCTCACGCGGGAGCTGCCTCGGCCCGCGCGGAGCCTGCGGCGCTCCTGCAATCGCTCGGAGACGAGGAGGTGGTCCAGCGGCTGGTCGCCGTGGCACCTGCTCTCGCCTCGCTGCTGCGGGGGCAGCACCCCGTGCCCGCGGACAAGCTGCGCAGGGACGTGGCCCTCCACGCCGAGGCCTCTGGGGTGGATGTGGTGCGCGCCAGTCCGCGCCAGCTGCGCGCGGCGCGGCGCGGTCCGCGCCTCGGCCCTCGGCATGCCGCCCAGGAGTGTCGTGGGCATGCTCTGGTCCCACAGCCAGTTCAGAATGATATCGAGGTCTGCTCCGCCGTGCCTTCGCGCTTGCTGCCCGTGCTCGAGCCGCTGGTCGTTGGCCCGACGGAGTGGAACGCGGGTGCCTCCGTTTTCGTGCCAGGTGCGGGTCAACACTTCTCGCCCGCTGGTCGTGCGACGTCGCCACTTTGCTAACCGAGCTGCAGCTGCTGCCCGTGCAGTCTGAGTCGGAGGTTGTCGACGGCAGTTCCATCGGGGACAAGTGCCCTGGTACATCTATGTCTGAGGCGGCCAGTGTGGAGCCGTACGCTGCGGAAGCCGTACTCGTCGCACCTGGAGGGCCCTTTGCGGTGCCCAGCTGCGACTCCAACGCCGTTGTCGTCGATGTGCGCTCGGTGGAGGATGGCACGCTGCAGGAGTTCGTTGAGGGCGTCTCTCCGGCACTGGCTGCTCATGATCTTCCTCTTGGCCGCTCTGTCGGGTCAGGTGAAGGACCTGTTCTTTCCCGAGGCGTCTCTCCTCTGGGTCAGCCTGCCGCTGTTCAGTTCAAGGCGGCGGCACTGGAGATGTTGGACACGAAGCTTTTCAACGATGGCGACCACGTGGATCTGCAGTCCGATTTCGTCGTCACCGTTTGCCCCTCCCTCGCCACGTATGCCTATCCTCGTCCTGGAGGCCGTGCGCGTGGTAAAGGATACTGCTGAACCTGAGCCGTGCACTGCGCTTAGGCTCGCTACTTTATGTTTCGTCGTCGCCTCTATCTTGTCGATTGCTGTATCAGGGTGCCTCAGCCGAGAATCAATTATAATAATATTGCAGAGTGCGCCGCCCAGCGTCTCTCTGCCTTGAGTCGGTGAGGGCCTGCCTCACCTCATATGCAGTCCGCTGCCAGTGGAAGTTAACGCCTACTAGGTAGAAAGAGGGTTTTTGCTGCTCCACCTGCTAGGCTATCTTAGGTTCAGCTTACGAGGCGGCACTCTCCCGCCAGCAATCTCGAGGCTTTGACAGAGACGGGCTTCAGCTACAGAGGCTGAAGGAATTGGGTCCGTGCACGTGGAGGCGCGTACCTTCTGCCCACGAGTGAAAACCAACACTCGGCGCCGTCGATCAAAACAAGGGGGACTCCCGTCCCCCCGAACCCCCCCCCTCCAGAACCCCCCACCCCCTCCCAAAGGGGAGGGTTCAAACCCCCCACCCCCCACCCCCTAGCGCCTGCGCCAGCGGCCGCCAGCAGCGCCGACGGCGGGGACGCAGCGACGATGACCAGAGGCAGCCCAATGGGGGGGAGGCGGGGAAGGGGGTTCAACCCCCCCCCCTTGGCGCCGGCGCTGGCGCCGGCGCGGCGGGGACGCAGCGACGATAACCACCACTACCACCACCACCACTACCACCACCACCACCCACCAACCCACCACCACCACCACCACCACCACCACCACCAACCCACCACACAACCACCACCACCACCACAGCCACCACCACCACCACAACCACCACCACCACCACAACTCACCATCACCACCCACCACAAAAACCCACCACCACCACACACACACCACCACCACCACAATCTACCACGCCACCACCACCACCGCCACAACGAGCACAACCCACCACCACCACCACACACACCACCACCACCGCCCACCACCACCACCACCAGCACCACCTCCACAAACCACCGCCACCACCACAACCCACCACCACCACCACCCACCACCACCACCACCACCACCGCCACCACCACCACCACAACCCACCACCACCACCACCACAAACCACCACCACACCACCACCACACCACCACCACCTCCACCACCACCCACCACCACAACCACCATCACCACCACAATAAACCACCACACCACCACCACAACCACCACCACCACCGCCACCACCACCATCGCAACCCACCACCACCACCACCACCACCGTCGTCCTCGTCGACCTTCCCCGCCGCCACCGCCCGCCGCCGCCGCAGGCGCCGCCGCCGGCCCAGAAAAGGAAATCCTCGTCCCCGCCGCCGCCGCCGCCAGCCGAGGAGAGGGAGAGAGGAGAGGTAGGGGGGGGGTTCGAACCCCCCCCGCCCCCCCCCCCCGTCCCGTCTGAACGCGAGGCGGGGGGGACTCTCGGAGGAAACCCCCCCCACCCTCCATCCAGGGGGGGAGGTCTGGTTCCAACCCCCCCCCCTCCAAGCGACCACAGAACGCGCTCTTTCTCACACCGTCTAGTCACTTCACCCCCTTCGTCGACGCTCCAGACTCTCGGAGGAAAGGGGGGATCGAGGAGACGCGAGGATTGATGATCTAGAATCGAGGAGGGTCCAGGATCGAGAACAGAGGATCGATGAGGATCGAGGATCGTGGAAGATCGAGGACGAGGATTGATGATCGACGACCGATTGTCTAGGAGGAAGGGGATCGAGGCTCCAGGAGGGGGACCGAGGACGAGCAGGAGTCCTGATAGGGAGGGGGTCGAAAATCAACGACTTTGGACGACTGAGGGTCTTCGTTGAGCATCCATGGCGTCCTCGTGGCCACGGCCGGATCCAATTCGAGATTCCGCTCGGAACGCTCCTCAGGAGGAGTCCCAGAGCTCGATTCGGAAAGATGAGCGCACGGAGCTCTGGCGAGTTGGAGTTCCTCGAAATGCTCGCCGTCGGGAAGGGGGCATGTTCCAGGCACAGGGGCCAGCAGAGGCGAACCAGGATGGAAGCCAGTCCGTGGTCGGTCAGATGATGTCGAGAGGTCTGGGGCCTGCGACTCGAAAGCAAGTCATTGGAGGTCTGGGGGAGAGGTGGACGAGCGCAGAGAAGGAGGAGGAGGAGGAGCAGGAGGAGAAAGGAGAGAGAAGGGAGCAAGCCGGGCGCGATCGCGCCATTTATGCCATCCTATCCCTCCCTCCTATTCCTTCCCATTGCGCTGATCTCGTCTCTAAGCTGCGCCCATAGGAGGAAGTGCCAGGTGAACAGGAGGATGAGCAGGAGGAATAGGAGGAGGACGAGGAAGGATGAGGAAGAGGACAAACAGCAGCAACAGGAACTGGAGCGGAAGGAGCGGACAGAGCAGGAGGACCAGGGAAAAGCGGCGAAGCTGAGCAGGAGGAAAATACGGAGGATGAGGAAGGAGGAGGAGGAGGAGGACGACGAACAAAGCAGCGGGAACTAGAGTGGAAGGAGCTGGATGAGCAGCGGGATCAGGGGAAGCCGGAGGAGGGGAAAGGAGGGAGGCGACCAAAAGCGAGAGCGCCATGCTGAAAACGGGAGCAAAGCACCGATCAAAAAATGAGGCCCACGCTGCAGATGAAACACCATCTTGAAACACCGACAACTATCGGATTGCAACAACGATCGGGAACAAACAAACAACATTGTTGTCCAATTCTGAATCAAAAAGGTAAGCGGAGAGAGCGGAGGATCTTCCAGACAGAGTCAGGGGAGAAAGTAGGGTAGTATTCATGATGCTTCATTGAAGGAATGTGAGGGGAGTTCCATGGATGGGCAGCAGCAACACAGCCCCATCCCGCATACTTCTTATGTTACTAGCGTGCCGAGTTCGGTTCACTATGCGTACGGCCAGATGCAGCTCGATCGCGCGACCAGACATTTGCGCCGCGTTTGAGTCATGGCTCTCCCGCTCTCCCAAGAGCTAGATCCACATCACGCAGCGCGCGAGACAGCAGCCGATTCGAGAGGGGTCGAACATATGGTCTCACGCCAAGCACTTTTTCACGGGCCCCTGCACTCCTCCTCGACTTCCTCATTCATTGATTCCGTAGAGGAACCAACAATGACATCAACAACATGAACTTTTGGAGGTCTCCGCGAATTTCTCGGATTGGCGCTGGACCCCCCTCCCTGGTGCGCGGAACGCGCCAAGGTCGGCGCCAGAGGAGCCGCCAAGAGACTCCAGCACCGATCCGAGAAATCCGCGAGGACCTCCGAAAGCTTATATGTAATTGGTTCTTCCCCGATTCATTCGATCGTGCACGATGGGCGCGACAGCTGAGACCCGAAGTAGGAAGCAAAACGAGCGCACCGCAACAGCAGGGACGCTGGGTGGACCCCAAGCCACCACGGACAGCCCAGGCCACCAGACATGGCCCCCCGCAGTTCAGCCGTGGCGCCGGGGGAGAAAGGGAGGGGAAGGGGGCCCAAGGGATGGCCGACGCGTCCAGCCTCATCTTCCCCCCCTGTCCTCGTGGTCATCCTCCGATCCACTTGAGATCGTTATGTGTTTCTCGGGGATGGCCCGGGGGATCCGCTGGAGGGGGGAGGGAGGTGTAGGCCGATAAACTGACCTGCTCGCTTTGGGTAGCTTCGCGCCTGCCCGCGCGCACTAGTATTGCTTACCCCCTTCGGACCAGCGCAACCGACAAAGTCAGGCTATCCAGAGAGGAAAGGAGGGTGGCGGGGGGCGGGCGGGCCCGATAACCAGGGCTATCGCCAGACCCTTACAACAGAAACATACTCCTACTCCATAGAACCGCCGCTGCCATCCTCAGGCACTGTAGCGCCCCCCAGCGCATCAGGGCTCCTTCAGGTTGTTGTAGTAAACTGCGTCCATCAGCTTACCGGAGGTGTCGAAGGCCACTGCCTGACACTTGCGGGGCGAGACGTGAGTTCCTTCTGTGAGTGTTGCCACGCCGGCACATGTGAGGCTGCTCCGAACGCATGCAGTTGGCGCTAAGCAGCCCGTCTTACACACTACATTGCAGGCTCAGAGATGGACTCGCAGTGTAGAGATCACAATTTTCGGCGATATAAGACTAGAATCATCGCGCGTTTCGCGTGCGCTCGAGTTCAAGCTAGGTTAGATAAGCTAACTCATGTCATGTCATGTTGGTCGCCGCATGCGTCCAGGGACTCCCTTCGGAGGCCCTGCGCAAGCCTCGGAGTCGTATAGAAGGGGGAACGTGGAAGCGCAGAAATCATGAATTGCCTTGAAGTATTCAACGATTTGGGGCCCTCAAAGGCTTCCTGTGTTTTTTTGGGGGGGAGGCGAGGGGGGTCCGAATTGTTGTCTGTTGTGCAAGAGTAGACCGAGGGCCAAACTTGGAAGAAAAACGCAGGAAGTGTGGGATTTCCATGTTTTTTCCAGTTCCTCGGCGCTGTTCGACGCTGTTTTTTGTTTGTGCCTCGCGGGTTTTGCTAGCCGCGCCCCTCAGAAATGCCGGATCTTCCGGACCCCTTGGGGGTTCTGGAGGTCTCCTGGAGGCTTGGAGAGCCGTCGGAAAGGTGTCGCGGGCTGCGCGGGAGCGTGTTGGGCCGCCCTTTACATTCTGGGGGCTCTTTGGGGTCGTCGTGGGCTGTCCTCCGGCGACTTGGGGTCTCACCCCGGGAAGCCGGGAGGCGCGGCGCTGGCCAGTTGTCAGGGGATGTGTATGACCCCCGCATAGGAGTCCAACTTTGGAAACATAAGGGGGGATTCCGGGAATTCTTCTTCTTCTTATTGTTTACCCTCTTTGGGCTCTCTCGGGACGGTTCCCGCAGCTCTCTCGGGCTGTTCCTGGAGCCTCGTAGGGGTCTTTCTGGGGCCTCTCAAAGGTCGGGGGGGAGGGGGCCCCGGGTGGTCCCGGAGGCCTTTCGGGGCTGGCTGTAAGGCAGCTGCTCATGGACAGCGCCCCTGGGAATCCAGGAGAACATGAAAGCGCATGAAGAACGTAAGAAAAAGAAGTGCTGCGAAACAGGTGGAAACGATATCTCCGCTGCGTAATTACGCAAAAGCCGCTCGCTGGATTAGCGCAGTGGCACGCGGCGCACGCGATGCGCAACTGCGCGCGCTCGCCCAGGGGCGATCCACCCCGAACAACTCGAACGCCTCGCTTGCGAGTCGACGACGCAACCCCGCCGAATCTGCACATCTCCGACGCCGCGTCTGCGACGGCAGCGGCGGCGGCGATGCGGCGGGAGGCAGACAGGGGGGCAGGAGCAGCAGCGCAACCGCTGACAGGAACGACGGCGCCGGGAAAACGAGCGCGCGGGGAGATGGAGAGGGAGCAGACGCGCGACATCGCCTGGAGAATAACTCTGGGCGAAGAGGGGGCGCGGAGGACGGAAGGGGGGGCGACTGGAACTTGAATGGGGGCGGCGGCTAGAACGGCCTCGATGGGGCCGCTGAGAACGGGCCCTAGGGGCGAGGGGGACTGGGCGACGAGGTGCAGAAAGATCAATGGAGGCGGGCCCGGGCCGCGCGAAGCTACAGGCCGACTCGCCACTGCAGAGGGCCACGGGTCGCCCGACACTCCTGCGATCCAAACTCTCATATGGCTACTGTACCATCATCGCGCGAATGCCGATGGCAAAACGCCCTGCGCGCCCCCGCGCACCGACGACGTCGAGAACGCGCCGCCGCGGCCGGCGCGGCTGCCGCCGCTGCGACTTGCGAGTGAGCCAGCAAGAACGCCCCCCGGGCTGCCGCCGACGACGCGGACCTCCCTGCCCCTCGCCCCTTCCCCCCACCCCCCTCCCTCCCCAACCCCCCCCATCCCCCTCCGATCGCGCCCCCCCCCCCCTTTCCACCTCGCGCGCTCTTCATCCTGCCCACCGCCATCTCAAATTAACCTCCTTTGCTCCCCCTGGCCGCCTGCGCCGCGACCTTCCGCGGCGACCCCGATCCACGGCGCCGCTCGCGCCCGGCCTAGCCCGCGCCGATTGCGCCAGCGCCTCGGGCAGCCAATTCGAGGGCCCCCAAAATTGCCGCCAGATGGCCACCGCGACCCAAGCCGGCGAAAGATAACCCCCCAGGCTCCGCGCCAGACGCCGGCACAATCGCCGCGGGGCCTCGATCGGCGCGGTCCCCGGGCGGCCGCGATTTGTTTAGGTGCGTTCGAGGTGCCCCAATCGAATTTCCCAAAACATGCAAACAAAAGAGGCCCCGCATTCGCAAACCCCGGGAAATTCGGTGCGCCGATTTGAAATGAAAAAATGAGGCGGCCGAAATAGGCGAGACGCCCGCCGACTCCGCGCGCGCATTTTTCTCACATGTTTTGCTTAGTGGTTGCATACTTGTTGTAATACAAACATACGCAAACAAATGCGTTACAATAAAATGGCTGCGGAGGCGCCGACTTTCCAACGAAAAAAAGAAAAATGCACAATGCACGTGCGAAAAACTAGCCCGCCCCGACCGGTGAAAATTCAAAAACGATAGGCACGAAACGACTTGTTCCCCGGGGCGGCCGGCGGGGGCGAGGTGGGATAGCGCGACGCCCCCGGGAGGCCCGCGACGGAATGCGGCTGCCCCATAGGGCCGTGCCCCCCCCCTGCCCCATGCACCCTTTGGATAAGAGCCCGGCCGCCTCCCGGCGCCAGGCGGACGGGGGGGCGGGCGGGGGCGCAGCGCCAGGCGAGGGGCGCGGCCGCGCGGCTCGGCTGCTGACATCTGCGCCGCGCCACCCCCCGCGGCAATGTACCCAAGAAAGCTTCGCCGACATGGGGTGGTTCCTGAAGAGCCATGACCCTGCGGGAAAATGCCGCGGCCCCGAAGGGGGCCACGGCGCCGTCGCCCCTGATGGGCGGCGGCCGCGCGCGGTGCTCGCAGGCCCCTCAAGCATTTGCCCAAGCGAAAACCGCAGTCGCAGAGGCTGCGCGCCCTACTTGCACACCCCATCGCACGCTTCATGGCCCCACGGGCGACTCCGTCGAGGCCGCGGTAACAGCGGCCGCGCGCGGCACTTGCACCCCCGAGCTCCATCAAAGGCCCCCGCGGCATCGGCCGCGCGCGGCACTTGCGCACCCCTCGCGCGTTCGATGGCCCGAAAAAGAAACCTGCCAAAAGTCCCACCGTCAGCGGCCGCGTGGGTACCTGGGCGCGCGTCGTGGCCCCATGGGCGCCTTCACCGAAAGCCCCAGAGGCGGCGGCCGCACGCGGCACCTGCAGAACCCTCGCGCACTTCGCGGTTCGACGGGGGACCCCGCCGAAGGCCCTAGCGGCAGAGGCTGGGCGCGGCATATTTGCGCCTCTGTCGCGCGTGTCGTGGCCCCGCAGGAAGCTCAGCTGAAAGCCCCGACCCCGCTGGCACCGCTCGCGCGGCGGCCCTGGCTCACGTCGGCGCGCCCCTGTGACGCGCCCCCTGGCCCCCAAAGAACCCACAGAAACTGTGATCAGAACTGCAGATGGGCGGGCCCTTCGCCAATCATTTGCTGGACGCGCACGGGCGACGCCAGGCCCCGCGCCGCGCCAATTCATCGCGCGCCCCCGCGGCGAGAGACCCCAAAACCGAACCATGGAAGCCGATCCCGCGCGCCGCTGCAAGACGCATGATCGCCTTGAGCTGCCATGGTGATCGGCTTTCCCAGCAATGCACTCGCTGCGCGCCGCAAACACCGCTTGCGCCTGAGAGCTTACATATAAAACATAATGACATGTAACTTACACATGTCGAATCGATATAGTTGTTCACGTACTTCCGTAGCCTCTGTTACGGCTACTTTGCAAGTGTTCAACATACCAGCACCTCTCCAGATTACCCTCGTTAATCTCTGGAAGCCTCCTGCTCCCGCTCTTGGCCCCATCTTGGGCCTGTTCTGGGGTGGTCTGGGGCTGTCCTGGGCGCCTCTTCGGCAATCTTGGAGCCTTCTTGGCGTCTTGGGGCCGTCCTGAGGGTCTCTTGGGTGGTCTTGGGGCGGTCTTGGGAGCCTCGTCGGCGCTCTTGGACCGTTGGAAGCTCGAAAACGCGAGAAACCCAAAACATTGGAAACAACTGTGAAAATCTACGATGTTGGATTCTTCGGGTCGTCCCGGGACGCCTCTCGGACCTCTCTTGGGGTCTCTTGGAGGTTACCTGGGAGCCTCGAGAACCGTCGGAATCCTACTTGGGCTGCTTGGGAGCGTTTTGGACAATCCTTTCGCATTCTGAGGGCTCCTGGGAGGCGTCTCGGGCCCTCCTGGAGCGCTGTGGAGGCCCCCTGGAACGCCAGGGGGAGCTGTACCTGGAGCGTTCCCGAGATGTCACGGGGAGGTGTGGCACCCGGGGCCGGGGGGGCTCTATTGGGGTGCGTCTTGGAGCGTTTGTCGGGGCCTCTTTTGGTGCTCCTTCGGGTCTCTTGGGGGCTTTTGGACGCTTCTTGGAGCCTCTTGGGGTCTCCTGGGGGCCTCCTGGGCCAAAATTATCGAATCTTCGGTTCCTCGTCCCCGTCTTGGGCGCCGACTCGGGGCGTTCTTGGGCGGTTTGGGCGCCTCGGGGGCCGTCTTGGCCCCCTCGTGGGCCGTCTTGGGGCCCTCTTGGGGACATCCTCGACCGGCTTGGGTGCCTCTTGGGCCGTCTTGGACGCAGTGGAAGCCCAAAAGGCGAACACGCCCAATATATCAGTTTCCCCTGGGAAATCGACGATGTTTGCTTAGTTGGGGCTCTATTGGAGTGCCTCTTGGGAGCCTCCTGGGGGTCTCTTGGGGGCCTCTTAGGGGCCTCTGGGGGGCCTCTTGGGGCCTCCTGGGGGCCTCTTGGGGCCTCCTGGGAGCCTCTGGGGCCGAAAGCTCAGAATTTGAATATGGTTGTGCACCTCTGGGGCCCTTCTGGGGCTCGTCCTGGGACTCTCTTGGGCTGTCTTGAGGGCCTCTCGGGCCGTCTTGGGACCTCTTGGGGTCGTCTTGGAGCGCTCTTGGGAGCCTGTGGGGCAGTCTTGGGGGCCTCTTGGGCCGTCTTGAACGCAGTGGAAGCCCAAAGGCGAACAAGCCAAACATATCAGGGTCCCCATCGGAAATCGACGATTTTTGCTTATTGGGCCACTCTCGGGGTGCCTCTTGGGGCGTCTTCGGAGCCTCTTTTGATAATTGTTCGGGTCTCATGGGCGCCTCTTGGGGCTTCTGCGCCCCTTCCTGGAGCCTCTTGAGGTCTCCTGGAGGTCTCTTGGGCCAAAAGGCTAGAATTTCCAGTTCCTCGTCCCCGTCTTGGGCGCCGCCTTGGCGGTTTGGGCGCCTCGTGGGCCGTCTTGGCCCCCTCGTGGGCCGTCTTGGGGCCCTCTTGGGGGCATCCTCGACTGGCTTGGGTGCCTCTCGGGCAGTCTTGGACGCAGGGGACGCCCAAAAGGTAAACACGCCAAAAATATCAGCTTCCCCATAGGCAATCGACGATTTTGCTTATTGGGCCTCTCGCAGGGTGGCCTCTCGCAGGGTGCCTCTTGGGGCGTCTTCGGGACCTTCGGGGGCCTTCTTGGCGTCATGGGAGTCGTCTTGAAAGGCGTCTGGAGCCATCGCTGCGGAATCCTGGGGCCTCCCTGCAGCCTCTTGGGGCCCTGTTGGCCCCGGGTCGCCGAACCCCTGCAAAAACCAAGGAAAACGACGCCCGGGCCCCACATTTGTGGTCGTGGCGCCGGCCTCCGGCCCCCGGCCCCCGGTCCCCGGCTACATGTAGAAGTAGGAGCCCCTGAATTTTGATATATGGGGTTCCAGGGCCGTCGAAAGACGAGAAATCCGCCGACCCCTTGGGGTCATGGCGTGACATGCTTCCCCCTCCCCAACCCCTCCCCCGGGAGCCCGGTCCGGCCCGTTTGGAAGGGGGGCAAAAGTGCCGGCCGCATCCTTGGAGCCTCAGGGGGCCCCAAAGCGGGCCAAGAAGGCCTCAAAAGGCTTTCCTGACGGTCCAAGAGGGCTACGAGTGGCCGAAAGATCGCTCCAAGACGCCCAAGATTGCCTCCTGACGGCCCCAGACGCCCCAAGAAGCCACCAAGAGGCGTCCCAAGAGGCCCTCCAGAAGCAAAAATCGTCCCATTCCCTAGGGACGACGTTTATTTTTAGCACATTCGCCTCTTGGGCTTTCACGAGGCCCACGACGGCCCAAGAAGCCTTCAAAATCGACCCAAGATAGGCCAAGAGGCCCCCAAGAGGGCTCCAAGATAACCCAAAAAAGCCCCAAGATGGTTTTAGAAGTTTTCGAAACGGCCCAGGAGGGCCTCAGGACGGCCCCAAGAGGAGGCCCAGAGAGGGAACCCGAATGGACATTTCGAGCACTCGGCCCTGAAAAAACCTGAGGCGCCAAGAGGCCCCCAGGAGGCTCCCACGAGGCCCCCGAGACGCTTACAAGGGGCCCCTAGAGGCCTCAACACGGCTCCCAAGAGGCTTCAAAAGTGCGACCAGTAGAGCCCAGAAAAGCCCAAGAGCAGAGCCGCGATCCGCCAGCCGCCCCCGACGAAATCCCAAGAAGCTGAAACCCCAAGATTTCCCAGAAATCGCGCGCGTTCCGCAAGCTCCGTTTTTCACTCTGTCGCCTCAAGGGGTCGGCGGTGCGGCGTCAGCCAATGAATCTCCTCGGCCCCCCCCCTTTATCAGGCCGATGTCTTCCCAGACCCCGACGTTGGTTGTCCTTCACCACATGGACCCCTGGAGGTTCCGACCCCCTCCTCGGGGCCAACTTTGCATCCTAAGATTTGCGTGCACAATCGGCGACCCACTAGGGCCCAAGGAGCAGAGCGTTCAGAACAAAAAGCACGCTGTGCCTCTCCATTGCGCGAAGAAGTCAGGAGAGCCCTTCTACCACTTCGCGGCGCGCAGGGACAAGCCTTCTTAGAAGCCTCGGACGTTGCTAAGAGAAGCCCTGCCTTCGAAGACGCCGACCCCAGCTTCTGAAAAGACCAGCCCCCTCGCGACATCCCGTCTTGCGAGCCGCCAATCCTCCTCCTTCTCCCCCTCCCGCCCCCCTCCTCCTCTCCTCCCCCCCTACCTCCTCCTCCTCCTCCTCCTCCTCCTTCTCCTCCTTCTCCCCCTCCTCCTCCTCCTCCTTCTCCTCCTCTTCCTCCTCCTCCTCCTCCTCCTCCTCCTCCCCTTTTCCTTTCCCCTCCGACGCCTTAAGGCAGGTCCGCGCTTGGACCGCCGGAGGCCTGAAACAGCAACAGAACCTCCCGTCGTGATTCTTGTCACAACGCGGGAGGGTGGGTACGTCCCCCCCCCCCTTCGCTCCCTCGATCTCCGTCCCTCCCCCGACCCCTTGCGACCTCCAGAGGGGATCTCAGATCGCGGTCGCCTGGGGGCTGGCTCGCGCTTCGCCCCGCGCGAAGCGCGAAGGGGGGGGGGGAGGGAGGAGGGAGCAGGGAGGGAGGAGGTAGCCATCCCTGCCCCCCTCGCCGCTCCCCGTTTCCCTCGCTCCCGATGCCACCGAAGGCGCCGAGCTCCTGCGTCCACTTGTCACTCAGCTCTGCCGAACGACTACATGACACCGAACATGGTCTTCCCGATCGAGGAAAGAGGAGAACACGACATGCCTCAGAATGCAATAGTAGCAGCTGGTGCTTGCAGCAAGCCTGAAGCCACTGCAAAGATGACTCGCCTTGCTCCTCCATTAGTTGACCAGCCTCCCGACGAGACGGCACCACCGACTAATCGACGTCAGCACTAAGGATATCTCCCTCCTCCTCCAGACCCCTCTCGTCCCTTGATAGTATCTATGGCGCTGCACATGCACGGTCAGGAACTTTTGCACAGCGTGTCGCGGGGGTGGCCCCGGGGACACGCTATGCCTTGCAAATGAACAGTGTGTTGCTCTGCTTCGCGGGGTCTCGGCTTGGAAAAGCTCGGCACATTCGTGCTTGGGGACTGGGGCGCGACACGCAAGCAAGAGTTGCCGACCGCATGCCTGCCCATCGACATCAGCAAGCAGAGTCCAGAGGCGATGCCTTCACCCGCCTGGGACGCCGTGGGTCGGCGATGACCCTCCCTTGGTGCGCGAAGCGCGCCAGGGGCGGCGCCAGAGGCACCGCAAGGGAGGTCCACCGCCGACACCCACAAAATCTGCACGGACCTCCAATACTTGAATGCTTTAGCTGTCACCTTTGATCTCAACCATGCCCAGACGCGTGTCCGCGGTCTAGCAACCGCGTCTTCAAACATCCCCTCGCAGAACATCCAAATTCACCTGTTCTTCCGTGAAGTGTGCCCTCGATCCTTCGACACTCAATCCTGTTCATTCCAGACCACTTCTGACGGTCCCAGGCCCGAATAGGGGCCCCCCTCGAGTCGCGAAAACATCACAACGGCATTCGTTTCTCCATGTTCTGTGTTCGGACGCCTTGCGAGCCCGGGCACCGTCACAAATATCGACTCGGGATGGAAACACGGTCTGGGAAAGGTGGTCGAGCCCTCTGGGGGTCCCCGCTGTTAGCATAAAGCGGCGGGGGAGGTCTGAGCTAGAGGCCGCAAAGTTGGAATTGTCGCCGCGGCGGCAGAGGCCTCGTCTGGGGCCCTCCTCAAACATACTCCTGGGCCTGCCCTGGTTTGCGTTCTGACAGCGGTCTCGACGCGAAGATCAACCGTGACGACCAGGGCGCCCTGGGAGGCCACAGTAAATTAGCCAAAAAAGCGCCAACTGGCTTCGATCCTCGAATCTCGATCGTCGTCTGTCCCCCGCTGCTCCCAGACCATTTCTAACGTGCCACCACCATATCTGATTGAAAAATGTAAAACAACGCCTGCAGGTCCACGTCCACGCTGCCAGGATCCCATGACCTCAGAGAGCCCCTCTCAGCAAGCAGCCTGCCCCTCTGCAGGGAACACGAGAGCGAGGGGGAAAAAGGGCAGGAGAGGGTCGCAGGACGGAAGGAGGTTGGAATGTCGGACGACTTAGGAAAGAGAAGGAAGTAGGGATGGAGGGGAGGTAGAGGAGGGGATGGAGACAGAGAGCGAGAGAGAGAGAGAGAACAAAAAATAGAGAAACGGAGACAGTGAGGGATGGCGGGGGGGAATGAAGACAGGGGATTGGGGGAAGGGGGGAAGGAGGGCAAAGAGACACAGGGGGAGGGGATATGCCGCGTCCCCCCTCCCTCTCCTCCTCCACCACCTCCTCCTCCTCTTCTTCCTCCTCTTCCGCCTCCGCCTTGTCCTCCTCCCCCTCCTCCTCGTAGTCCCCTTGCACCAAAACCTCAGGCGTCGCATATTCCTCCTCCTCCTCCTTCTCCTCCTCCTCCTCCTCCTTATCCTACTCCTCCTCCTCCTCTCCTCCCCTCCCCATCCTCCTCCTCCTCCGCCTTTTTACGTGAGACTGGCATTATGTGTGATGCCTGGTCCTCCTCCTCCTCCTCCTCCTCCTCCTCCTCCTCCTCCTGCTTCTCTTCCTCCTCCTCCTCCTCCTCCTCCTCCTCCTCCTCCTCCTCCTCCTCCTCCTCCCCCTTCCCCCTCCCTCCAGCCATTTCGCGCCCGAGCGGCCCCCCCGGCACGGGGCGCGCAAGGGCGCCCTGCGGGCAAACGTCGACATTGTCCTGCTCGCGAGAGCCGACACCACGAAGCGCGGCGCCCCACGTCATCAGCTACACTTCTTAGATAAGGCGCGTGCGCGCCAGCCGGGGGACGTGGCACACCTCGTCCGTCCTCCCCTCGTCGTCCGGCCTCTGGCCGCCCCTCTTCCATCCTTGCGAGCAGCAGCACCAACTGCGGCGCCGCTGCCAAAGCGCAGGCGAGTTTCGGGAAACTGGAGAAGCACATCAACAGGTACAGTGCTGGGAGCGGTGCGTGCGAAAGCAGGCGAGCAGGGGCCAGTCAAGATCAGCAGCGTCATCAACCACACTGTTGGGAACGGTCCGTGCGGCGAGAACGCGCGAGCCGGCGCAAT